AAGGGCGGAGCGTTCTCGCAGTGAGCGGTATTTTCCTCATAAGTTCATAACTCGTTTCAGCAAAGGCGGGGAGGACCCGGATTTATATGTAGACGGTATATTTTGTTTGATATGCCATATCTGTTGATGTTGTCTCTAATTTTTGCTAATTGCTTCCTGTGCAATGCCGCAATGTTCTCTCCCGCTATGGTATGAGTTTCCTCGAGATATGCTATCTGGCAGAGGCACAGTGGTTGAAAGCTATTTTCGGTCTTAAGTTTTGCCCACCAGCTAGTAAAAGTCGACGTTTTGGGCTCTTCATTTTCATCCTGTCGCGAATACAAGTGGTAGCTGGGAGTAGGAGTAGTAGCGCTCTTCTTCACATTCTTGCTTGGTCGTCACAGCGCGTGTGCGAGTTTCTGCAGTAACGACCGGATGGCTTTCGATTTGCGGTCGGAATAGGTGTTGCTGGAGAGTGAGGGAAGAGTACCTTTCCTTAAGCTTGAGGACGATGGAGCTCCTTCAAGCCGACCGGAGTCCACTACTCATTCTCCGACTTGAATGACGTCATCGACACCCTTCAACTGACAATGAGGTCGTCACCTGGAAGGGACAGGAACATCACAGAGAGGAATGGAGTGGATCTGCACCATGTGGTGCGGATTAACCCTCTGTTACCCTAGCCCCTAGTTTTTCCGAGTAGGTGGATCATGGTGACTTCAAATACTTCATATGTTTCGGCTTTATACAAGATGACAAGAAATTACGGGCGCCGAATTTCAGAAACTTCCAAGGTTGGAGTGATTTATCAAATCCACTTCACCCGCTACTAATTAGTTGCATAAGAAGGATTTCTTGCAAAATATATGTTTACTAAAGGGAAACTCCCGATATCTTTTAGAAGAGGAGGCTCATTCAATGCCACTCGCAATCATCGGCATGCGAGAGGTGGAAAGCATTATGAAATTTCTTGGGATTTTCATGATAACCCTATAGGAGGCTATTAAGCGGTATAGGAAAGAAGATTAAACCGGAGACAAACCATAAAATGGTAGAAAAGCCAATATTTCCAAAGACAGGACCATTAAAGTGGTCGGTGGTAATCCTGGGTGACCCATCAGAAGAAAGTCAACGGGCACGGCTTATCGGAGTTATCGCGATGGAAGAATGTCATGCAAAAGCTTGATTGCCATTCCCTATCATATGCAGGAATTCCACTTCATTTCCTGTCTCAATAAACAGTGTAGGACGAAAAAACGCAGAAGGCAGTTGACTCGCTTGAGTTGAAATACGCATCCCTGCGTCGTTTTCTCTGGCTAAAAATTTTTACGAAAAAACCGTTCCTCAAAATATAAAACGGCCGTGTTTCGTATAGAATTATCTAATGTGCAATCTCTCACGAAAAAACTGCTATAAGAACAGCAGAATGATGTTTATGAGGAAGTCACTGGCAAGGATAGGACGCTCGCGGTTTCGTTGATGCCGGAGCGAAAAGTGAGAAAGACCTGTGCTCAAGGGCATACTGAAGGACGTGATGAAGGACTTATCCAAACCCGCCTCCTAAAACAGTTCGCAGTCCTCCAAGCAAGACGGTACTCCAGCCCACAGAGCCGAGTTCGCCCGGCAGTGGTACCGGCGCTAGCTGCCCGACTTCATTAGCAAAAATTAGTGGCCACCCTGCTTCCCAGATCTGAATCCACATGACTCCTCCGTATGCTCCCTGATTAGGAGAGACCTGTATGGTTGCCATTCCTAGTCTGGAGTCCTAGAAAGCAACACTCAAAAAAGGCTGCGAAGAAGTGGAGGATACTTGCGTGCAACATGCGAGGTGTTGGAGAGCAAACATTGGACCTGTATCCACTGGGGTTATTTTGAGATGTGACTGTAGCATGTTGTAGCACATGATGTAAGCAATCGTGTCATTCTCATTCTCAGCTAGGGAGTTTTAAATAAATCGCCATGAACTGGCGCACATAATTTTGGGACACCCTGTACATCTGTGTATATTGTGCTATATTACGTGTGTGTTTTTCCTTTTAATCTACCTCGTGCATTCAGTCACTGTTTTGTTCATTTGTTGCATTGTTAGCTCCTACAAATAAACAAGGGTATCCTGCCTAAATTGATACGCTTTAGGTAAGAGTGTAGGGGTTGAATGCTTTGGTTGCTGGCTAGTACCTCGGTTGCACATCGTTTTATAGCTTGAACCCTTTGAAGACGGTAAGACTCCCGAGTTTTTTTTTTTGAAGGGGTCGTTTGAACCGAAGCCCACCTGCGGCCATGCAACCTTTTGTCTTTGAGGGTAACCAGCTCGTCCTGTAGAAGAGCAGAATGAGTTTTACGGAAGGATGAGCCGATAGTTCGAGCTTAACCAAAAATGTCGACTGCCTCAAAATATTCCAGTTGACGCCATGCATCTGACTTGTCGACAACCTCTCCTCATCGGTGTCGCTATAGACGATTGCAAGCATGCGGGTGAATTGCAAGCTGGCTTATTTCCTACGAAGAGATACACATCGATGGCTTCTTTTTGAAATGTCAGCTTTTGAAATGAGAAAAAAGTGTCAGCCTGTGGAATAAGAATAAGTTGTAAGTAATTAAACAAGCAAAATATTTAATCTCGTTAAAAACTTCTACAGGCTGGACAGGCAACAATTTATTGAATTCCACTAGATTAGCAATAATGTTCCTCAAGATATCGAGATGGGATTTCAGTAGAAAAGCTGCAAAACCATGTGCCTTTGATTCTTAGAAACGCTCTCTGCACTGACCAGTACTTCATACGTTGAACAGAGAGCTACCTTTTCATCAATATTCGTCGCATTGCATGGGTTAAGGAAAAAAGTAAATGGTAGGATCACATGAGCTTATAAAAAGTGGCAGAAATGTTTCCTATCAAACTAAAGACCGCCCATTATATAATGAACAGATAGAAACAATCAAACTGAAGAGGTCTCAAAAGTGTAAGATTTTGTTTAACAATAGTGAAGCAGTAATGAAAGAACTGCATACGAATGACATCGTTCAAGAAGTGAATCTGATCGTCGATCAATCTCTAACCTGCTTAAAATAGTTCAAGGTGTTAGAAATATAGTTATGGAATGGTGTATATAAGTATAATATTTATCAGCTCAGTGTAAAATAATCACTACTAAACACGATGATGATGCCAGCTGCTGACCCATGTCCATGGAATCGTCATCAACGCTGAAATCTTTTCTTTGAGAACAATGTGATCTTTGGAGAGGTGACTGATGTTATTTGTGGAATTATGAAATTTTTCAGAATCGAAAACAAATCTCATTGCAGGACACGTGTTCATTCATGGCTACTTTTGTGAGGGATTTAGCAGCCTTCAGACCATGGAAGTATAAATCAGTCGGAAAGGAGGCGGCAATGGACGGTTGCACTCCCGGGTAATGAAGTCTACTCAGTCACCATAGGTAAATAAAGTAGTAGCCTATAATAAATATAAAATAGCTTATGACTGAATGTTATTGGGATTTTTTAAACCACAACGCATGTTTGTTCTGAGGACCTTCTAAAGAACGCTTTTTCGGAATGATTGGGATGAATTTCCCCTTCATTTGTACTTTCAGAATTGATTTAAGCATAATGTGTAATAAATGCAGCAGAAGACGCAACATTGGCGGATAGGCAAAGTTATTGGAGTTTGGTTGGAAATTAAAGTGGTACACACTGTGTAACACTGGTCTCACGACACCTATCTTCTATACGCCACTCCGGAGAGAAGCCATGCACCAACGGCTTCCATTCGTCTCATTATCTTTTTCCTGCTTTATGAGTGCGCGTAGCTTTTAAATTCTGCTTTGGCGCCTCGTACGTGTATCACAATAAGTTTAAAGATCATCAGCGATCATCAGTTGGCGACTGATCCTTGAGCTTGATCGAGGCGCATTGGCATCTGCGGCAGAAGTCTCTGTCCTGTTCTCTTTGGAGGGGAGGCGACAGTAGCGACAGTGAAGCCGTGGCGGAGTTCCGAACATGTTTCAGGACACCACACTTTGCAGAGGAGAAGTTCGTCATTACCACGCCTTGGGCTCATTCGGAGGCTTGTAAAAGGGGTGTCCAATGTACCACCGTGTCTATCGTTCATTACCCATTGATTACACGTGCATCGAATATTCGGAAGTCGTTTAGGTCCTGTAAGTATAATTTCACAACGGTTTCCGCTATCTGACCAAAGTAGCACAATGACAGCAGAGATCGAATGAGCATTGAGCTGCGATGCCAGTCCATCCAATGTAGAATACACCATGATTCTCACTTCCGTGCCCTCTTCTTCGAGTTTCTTTTCTGCTTTAAGAAACGACGGTGTCAGAGCTACGAACGAGGGACTTGCCGGTGAATTAGTGTATTCCCTTGGTATCTGATCGAAGCGGTCGATGGTTCGGGCGTAGTGAAGAGTACTAGTATCTTAAGTATCGCGGAGCCTTGAACGGCGATAAATGAATCTTGCGCTATCGTTGCGATTGTCTTAGGTCGTGCCGAACGTGTAACAAGTGGAACAATGCACAGCAATCGCTTAGGCGAGTGCTACGTAGATGTTTGGTGATAGAGATTGGTAATACAGTAGCGCTCAGAAGTCTTCGGTGAAATGCTTTTTGAGTCGTAACTTCTTTCCTACTGGATCTAATCACACGAAATTTTTATATGTTGAGCGCGTATGTATTATGAATATTTACAACTATTGACCTGCAATCTGACCATGATCCAAATATATTAAAGAGCTTGAACTCAAAATCAACTGGAAATACGGTTAACATTGGTTGAAGAAAACCCACTTCATTTTGGATTAATATCATGTCAAACAATCAACAACGTCAATACTTGGTAGGAAAACCACGATTCTTGATCACAGCTTCACAGCGAGAGGGCATCGAGTCGATGAGCTTCCGAACGAGAGACAGGGGCATGGCGCGCCATTCATCCGCGAGTTGAGCAAACTTGTCTTTCTTATTCGCACTCAATTTGTTAGAACAGCGCCTTCCAAGCTCTTATCATATGTGTTCTATGGGATTCAGGTCAGGGGATTGGCTCGGCCACTCAAGAACTGTGACTTGTTGCTCTTGGAAAGCCGCCTTCACAGCTCTTGAAGTGTGCTTCGGGTCATTATCCTGCTGTAGAACCCATCCTGGTGGCGTGTTCTCCTGAGCCCACGGCAGCACAGCGTTGATTATCATATCCCTGTACGATTTCCCCGTCATTACGCCGCTAATTTTCAAAAATGGGCCCATTCCATTCATCGATATCGCGCCGTATACCATGACGGACCCTCCACCATGCTTGACTGTAGGTCGCGTGTACCTTGGGTTGTACCTTTCGTTACGAGGACGTCGTGCAAATCTTATACCGTCACTCCCAAACAAATTGAACTTGCTTTCGTCCGTGAATAGTACATTACCCCAGTCAGCTGAAGTCCACTTGAGGTACCGGCGCGCGAAGTCCACTCTAGCTCTTCTATTTTTCATCGTGATGAGCGGCTTCTTAGCGGGTCGCCTTCCATAGATACCTGCACTGTTCAGGCGTCTTCCCACGGTTTGCCGACTTACCGTCGTGGCATTGCTCGCATTGAATTCGGCGGCAATGTCAACAGCAGTAAGTCTAGGGTTAGCCTTCGAACTCCGAATGATGCTCCTATCTTGTCCTGCTGTAGTGCACCGAGGCCTTCCCGTTCTCGGAGCATTACCAACCGATTTTCTGACCTGATATCGTTGAATTATCGACGATACTGTCTGCTGTTCAATCTTCAAAATCCTTGAAATGGCGCTGACTTTCATTCCTGATTCCTTCATATTCAGAGCAGCTTGACGGAGTCCATCCGGGATTTCCTTCCTTCTTGCCATGTCTAAAGTGTACGAGCGCTAATGCCGAACACAGTGATGGGGAAAAACGGATATAAGATGCGAATAATTGCAGATGTCGCTAACCTTGCCTTCAGCCAAGTCTACTGCTGCTACAAACACCTTGCGCTTAGTTATGTGGATGCTGTTGCTTTGCAGCCAAATTGTGANACATATCAAAAATTCGCACGATTTGCTTCGCTAAGAAAAAAGTTACGAACGAAAAAGCGTTTCACCGAAGACTTTTGAGCGCTACTGTATCTGCCAGGCTAATAGCGAGCCATAGGGAGCGAAAGCCACTGGTTCTATAACACCCTCCGCACTAATAGTACTAACATAGAGGTTGGCACCTCGGCTATTGGTTGGGATATGAAGGAACCAAAGGTGGTTGGAAACAGAGACTGATAACAAGCGATAATGACTTACAAAGAGTCATAGAAGATTAGAGCTACTAGGTCCGTGACGAACTTCAATTCAGTGTTTCATAACATTTAAAGGGTGACGTTGTTGTGTGAGATGGTGTCGTAGGTACTCTCTGGCAGGAATTGATAACATAACATGATAGGAACTCTAGAGAGCGAGAGTCGCTCACCATGCAGATCCTATGGCCTATGGTATTTACGATATGGCTTCGATTCTTTGATATGTTTCACTCGATAGGTCGGGTGAGCGCTGAGACCGATCAAAGGCACTTCATTATGTGATACGAAAATCCGGATTATCCGCTCTGTTACATTACAAGAGCTAACGAGCAAGGTTTGTAACTCGATAAGAATTAGGGTTTCCCTTTGTTTTGATATCATTTGCTACAAAACTTAACCAAGTGCCAATAATCTGGGGTGTTCAACTGATGATATACATATCCTTAAAGAAGAAAGTCCCATTGACAACGACATTCGTTGATGGTGTTATTATCCCTAAACATTATTTATGAATACCATTCAAAACTCCATTGCTCAATAATTAGATCTCCGACTGATGTTACTTTTTCAAAATGAAAGAGCAACAGATAGAGGTCTTTAACATTGGCGTAAGCATCGGCACATACTGAATACCACTTGCACTACACCGTTAGACCTCGCCCGAATTCCGTGCTCAGAAAAGTATCATTGGTTACAAAGAAGGACTGTTTGTTCCAAAAAAGGATCATTTGTTCAAGAAAAAAGGATAGGTCGCTTGCTCGGTTGTTACAACTATGTCAATTCTACAACACTTTCTGGCTGTGTTATCTTCTGCCTCGAGTCTGTTGTAGTTATTTGCTTCAAAAATGAAATGGTCGAAAATCAAATAAATCAAACAAACTAAATGAATAAATGAATAAAGTAATTTGTAGCTGATTATCCAAACAAACCTGAACTCGAAAAGGTCCAGAGCGAGCTGCTTGAGCGTGGAGGAACGCGTGGATCGATTTTGCATAACTGAAATCCAAAAAAGTTAGGGTGTTGTTTTGCCATTCCTCGGATCTAGTCGCTATTGTGGTGGAAGAAATGGGGGCGTTTACTCCATACACGGCCATTGCGTCAAGCCTCGCACTCTAGTGCGATGTATGCCATTCTACCTCTTTCCCGAATCATCTGAAAGGAACCATCTTGATATCGCTTCGAACCTTACACGAGTAGCTTGTCCGGTTACGAGCATAGCACTAGCATTACTCTCCAACGGCCCCATGGGAATCGCCTTTGTGCTTCAGTAACCGACTGGATACCGACGATACTGGCGCTATATTGAAGACTCAGACCATACGCTTGCTTACGGTCAGTGCTTTTATCACAACCTCACTTTAGAGGAACATAATTGGTACTCTTCGAAAACAATGCTCTCGATGATTTTCAGAAACAATCATGAAGATCTCTGAGCAAACAAAGTGACCAGTTGCCCTGATTTCTCAGTGTGGATGCTATTTCATGACGCATTTTCCCGTGTTTTGGGAACAGTTTTGAGAAATTTCTATCAAAAAATGATCTGTAAATGATGAGTCAGCCTTGTTGGATACACTTAAAAAACTTGAACTACATACACTTTGAACTTGGAGCAGCCTCGAAATGAGGCAAGCCTAACAGACAAAAGAGGAATTTCCCATTTACCTCACTCATCGGTATATCTGATCTTGATCGATCTGCAGCCGCTTTGAAAACATCCAAACTGCAATACTTTCGCCCATCACAAGCATCAATCAAGTGAGTGACCGGATAAAGTGTCACATTTCCGTCGTTTTGGTGATATCTCATCTGGAAATCAGCCAGATACATGAGAATGCTATAAGGACAGTTGATGCTTGTCCATCATTAACCTGATTGAACTTACCAACCTTGAAGTAAGCTTTATTGTCAGCACGGTTCAACCATAACTCAACAAACGCCCCAGCTGAGTAATCTGGATATCCGCACGTGCTGATAACTTTACTTTGGATGCCAAATATGGAGAAAAACGCATAGACTGTTGTGTCATGCTAAACAAGCATCTTCTCTCAAACTCCAAAAAAGCTACAAAGATAGTTATATGGTGCAAGATAGCTCGGTGGGAAAGTAATCGAATTGAATAATGCCCAGACTCTATTTGATAATACATTACGTTTTATAGATATTATACAAATGTGTTCATAATGGGGCTCAAAACCCGTCCGACAATGCCCACAACTTGCCACCCATTTGAGAAATTATTGGATATTCGGTCATAAATTTTCAGCTGGCTGTAGATGATATGTGTTCTTCCCTCTACTGTATGTTGAAGGTTACAATTACTTCCTGATTGAATAGAATCGAAAACATAGGTATTATGGTTGAAGGAACTCTTTAGACAATTTTTTTTGTGAACCCATGTATGTCCTTACAGCAACAGGAGCAACTGGTAGAGTCAGCAATGCAATTCCCGAGAGAAATGTTTTGCATGGTGTGGCTGCCCCCCTGCAAAAATGGTAATTGTTACTGTTGAGAGGCCTCTTGAGAGGGTATCATATTCACTTTCTAAATAAGTTAGTTTCCAGAACTGCATATAACACTGGATGTGCCTAAATTGCGAGAAAAAGTCACGACAAGTGCCAGTTCTGAAACTAGATATGCCAGTTCTCCACGAGCTGAAATAATGGACTTTCGATTACTTTCACACCAAAGTAGTGGTAATTCGCACCTTGTGGCAGGTGACCCAAGGTACGGGTTTCAGCTTGAAGAACATCCAAATAGGCTTGGTATCCTCTTTAGGTTAGGTATCCGTAAAGCGCTGAATAATCGAATCCAGCATTCTGGAGGAGCGATAACTACCCGTGGTCGGTCAGTCACACAAGAAAAATCAAACAATGCCTGCCAGCCCATGTGGAATGTCCATATTTTAGTTCTTTTAGCGCTAGTTCTTACCGCTGAGTAGGCATAATATTTCAGGCCATTTATCCATTTGCAATCATTACTGATTTTGTTCATACACTGTAGTTTAATGTTCATGTGCATATACATGTCGTTCACCAGGGACCCTCCACGGATTTTTTGTATCTCGTTTCCGATATCGAGATTGTTCATCATTAATGTTCCATCTGAAACAAAACAGATTTTTTCGTAGATTTTGAAGAATCTGTTCAATCTGTTCGAAATCTTCAACCTTGTACAGTAACAAAAGAATGTCTCATGTCGTGAAACTTATTTTGCATTTATTAGGCCTTCTGGGTGGAAGTGGTGTAGCGGAAAGTGGCGCACTCTCA